TATCTAGAACACACAAAGAATTAAAAAAAGACCCCCCTCCCCAAACTTAAAGGTCCAATCACAAATGGGCATCTGAGTTGAATACATCTCAGATGAAGAAGTAGAACTGGTCCACATCTCTGGACATGGGAGAGATGCACATTAAAACAATTCTGAGATTCCATCTCACCCTAGAAAGAATAGCTCCTTTCATGAAATCAACCAATAACAAATGATCATGGAGCTGCAGGGAAAAAGCAACCCTTCTCCACTGTTGATAGGAGTACAGACTGGTGAAATCACTGTGGGAATCAGTGTGGAGATTCCTCAAAAAAAAAAAAAAAAAACCAGCAGTAGAAGTCTCCTTTGACCTAGCCATTCTCCTTCTTGGTATCTTCCCAAAAGGATTAAAGGCAGCACAGCACAGCAATATATGTGCACCTGTGTTACAGTGCCATAGTTTATAATAGCCAATCTTGGGAACAACCCAAATGCCCATCAATTGATGAATGAATAAAAATGGCTCAAGCAGCTCAACCCTGGAGCTTGCAGTCACTGCCTGTCCTGCTTGGATTCCTGGAGCCCTGTCCCTGTCACCTGAGTCTGCACGTGGCCTGACGTGTGAGTGAGACGACCCAGGCCCATCAGATCCTGAATAGACCCAAAGCACAGGCCCAGCATGAGGGAGACAACACAGGGCCCGCCGGATTCTGAATAGACCCAGAGCACAGGCCTGGCGTGTGAGTGGGAGGACCCAGGCCACCAGATCCTAAATTGACCCAGAGCTCAGGCCCAGTATGTGAATGAGACTACCTTGGGCCCACTGAATCCTCATTTGACCCAGAGTGCAGGCCCAGTGCAGAAACCTTCAGCAGAACTCCCTGCAAAGAAGCTAGAGGCAAGACCCACCCAGCTGATTCAGGAGCAGAATATCTTGCCAGAGTGACACAAAGGGCTCAGCTCTAATGACTACAGCGGAAAGAAGTGGAGCACAGCAGCCAAATCCAAGCAACACCCACCTGGAGGAATCTGAACTTCTTAGATCTGGACCTGGTGCTAAGGTAATAACTCTATCTAAGCTCTACACCAAAGGTCAGAAAACAGTGGTATACAAAATGACAAAGAGAAGGAACAAAATGCAGTCTCAGGCCCCGAGTCCACCTAGTACAAATGCAGAAGACACTAGCACTGAGGAAACTGGAAATCACACACTGGACATCTCTGAAATAATAGCGTTGACAGTAAAGAAACAACTGCAGAAAGGTATAGAAGAAGTCAAATCAAAAATAATTTTGGAACTAAAAAATGCAGTGGTGACTATAATAAAAGAAGAACTAAGTGCTTTTTTTTTTTTTTTTGGTGGAACCAGGGATTGAACTCAGGCCCTTGTGCTTGCCAGGGAAGCGCTTATTCCACTGAGCCATCTCCCTGGCCCCATTAAGTGCTTCTAAAGAATACACTGATAAAAAATAGAGCAGAATATAAAAATGATGGAACCTTTGCATAAGCAATTTAGGAGAGAAATAGAATGTATGAAGCAGGTTCAAAATGATATACAGGAAATTAAAACCTCAAGCTGGCAAAACCGTTTGAGTGAAAGTGATAATAGACTTTCTGACCTTAAAGACACCATTGCAGCTAGTAAAAAGTAAGAAAAGATCTTTTAAAAACAACTAGGATGTAGGAAAAAATAATTCAATACCTGCAAGACGATGCAAAGATGAACAATATGAGGCTAATAGGCATCAATGAGAAGGAAAGAGTCAGTACAAATGATATAAAAAGAATATGGGCAGAAGTAATAGCAGAAAACTTTCCAAATATGGGGCAACAATCTGACATTCCTGTAACGGAAGCTTATAGAACTCCAAATAACATCAACTCAATTAAAACCACACCCAGACATATAATAATCAAGATACCAGAAATTCAGCAGAGGAACAGTATACTAAAAGCCGCTAAAGAAAAGAAGCAGATCGCATTTAAAGGGAAACCCATCAGAATAACAGCAGATTTCTCTTCACAAACCATCAAGTCAAGAAAAGCATGGAGCAAAGTACTTCAAGTCTTGCAAGAAAACAAATTCCAACTCAGACTGATATACCCTGCAAAACTCTCTTTCAAGTATAATGGAGAAGTGAAATACTTCCATGACAAAAAACAACTAAAGAATTTCATGATGACAAAGTCAAGCCTACACAGACTACTAAGTGATGTTCTAGAGAGGGAGCAAATTGATCACAGCCCCGTGAATGAGAATGGAAAGAACCTGCCAAATAGGGCAAAGAATTAAACACAGGACAATAAGAGGTATACAATAGTAGTTTTTCAGTTATTCTTTTGTATTCAGCAGCAAAATATTTCCATCAACACACTCTACAAATGGACTTCTCTTCCACTTTATGGGTCATGATTCCACCTGAGTCTACAGGGTGGATTTCAAAGAAATAGCTGTAGCTCAGTTCCACAAGTGACGCCTAGCCACCAGTAACTGTCATGGTCATTATGCATGTCCACAACACACTAGAACTTTGTGCGATATCCTATCCTCAAACTGTTAGAAGGGCTGGTCATTTATTTGCCATTCCAGTATTTATCTTATGTTTTACTCTTAGTACTTATTTGCTATTATGAAAACTTTTTCTTAGTTCAATTGTTTCGAAACAATTAACTTTTAATTAATTAGTATTTAATTTTCTGAATATTGCTTCATCTTAATTTTTGTTCTAAGATTTATACTGTATCTTTGACTTACAATTTATTTAAAAGACATCGTATGGTATCTTCTCCTCGTATTAGAAACTTTAAAACGTATATTTCTATTTTCTGTTGACTTTATATTACTTCTCTGTCTTTTACACACACATACACACACATATATGTGAAAAAAAATGTGTATAACCCAACATGAGATTGGTACTGTTTCATAGAAATCTGCAATGACCTTTAAATAAGGGTTCATCTAATATATTTTTATATAGTCCTGCATAGCTATCATATTGAGAGCACTTTATTGTTCATCCAAGACCATACTGCTGAATTATGCTCTTTATTTCCTATATGCTACTTCTAGAGGTATTAAAATATTTCAAGTTTGTATAACTAGAAAATCTTACTTTTAGTTTCAAAGGTATGTTTGCTAAGTATAAAATTCAAAGAGGACAGATCTTTTCTTTCAGTCCTTTAATTAGTCTAGTTTCTCACACACTTGGTCCTTTTTTTTTTTTCTTTCTAATGTGGAATAAGGTGCTATTTAATTTTGTTCTTCCATAGCTAATGTTTTTTATGTATATGCTTTAATGATTTTTTTCTTTACAATAAATTTTGGACAATTTCATTTTTGTGTATCTTGGTATGATTTTATTTAAATTTCTTGTGCTAAAGGTTCATTTTTCTTGGAAATATGGTATTTATTATAAATTGTACTAAATTCAGAAATTTTAAATCTTTAAGTATTTATTGCCTACTCCTTTCCACTTTGAGAATTCTAATTATATGAATATAAGTTTCTTGGTTTTGACACAGTGAACTATTATGACTGATCTGTAAATTCTTTCTTCATTTTTATTTTGGACAATTTTTATTGTTATATTCATTTATGTTTGTAAATAATTTATATTCAATTTGCAATCTATTAAAAAATTAAAATAAAAAAATGGCTCAGCCTATTTGCACAATGGAGTACTGCCTATCCATATAGGAATAAACTTGAGACATTTATAGCTGAATGGATGAACCTTGAGAGCATACTTTTAAGTGAAGTAAGTCTCACACACATGTGTAAATATCACATTGTCCCTTTGATGTGACGAGCTGAAAGTGTAAGAATAAAAATGTATAATAAATATTGTATCTTTTACTATGGATAACCACTAAGAAGATAACAATGTACAATGTATTGATTATTAAACAGCTTTGAAACTGTCTCATTCATATTTGTTTCTCAATAAAAATAAATAAATATTGTATAATAGGAAGACATGTTCAAAAGTTAAGTGAAACTAAGGAGGGAGGGGAGAAAGGAAGGAAGGTGAAAGGAAAAAAATGAGATAAGGGGAAAAGTTTTGATTAGTTTAATTCTAAGCCAACTCTAATTCAGCAGCTCTTTCTACCCATTTGTTTCTAACTTTCCCTTTGTCTTACAGAAAGCACAAAGGCTGAATTCCACGTGTTTCCCTTCTCATTGTGCAGGAGTTCAGGGGTGGGACTTGGTTCTTGGGGAAGAAAAGAAGAGGACTGTAAGGGTCCGCGCTTCAGCATTTATCGAGTTTACCCCTCATCAAGTCTTGTCTTTCTTATCTATATGCTAACTTCTTTATTGAAACATGTTTATCCATCTTTAGGGATATATCATGTTAATTTGATACATGTATAGAACATGCAATAATCAAATTAGTGTCATAAGCATTTGCATCTCTTCAAACATTAATCATTTTACAAGCTGGGAATCTGGTGCTCTTCTAGTTGTTTTGAAATATATTATACAGTGATTTCACCTATAGTCATTCTATTATGTTAAACCGGAAGCAGAAGTAGTCTCTCCAGAGCTTCTTTCTGTCCTCTCCTTCCCTTTCCAGTCTCCAGTGACCACTATCCCACTCCCACTTTACTAACCTTTTCATGTCCCACCCACAGCCCACCAGTGGACCCCGAGCAATCTGTCTGGTGTGTCTTCCTGTCTTAAAGTCTTGGTCTTGGCAAGCGTTTACCCTTCAATACTAACTTTGGGATCACAGGGTGTATGTGTCCTTTGAAAGCCTAGAGAAGGGCTACACATGTAATTTGCATGCAACGTCCATGAGACATCTAAATGTGGGATGGGACCTCATCAGAAATTATTTTCAATTTCAGGATAGTGACAAAAGAGCAAAGAAATCAAACTTGAGTGCAGGGTGCTGGGCAGGCACACAAGTCACAAGCAGGCACTATGTCTGAGTACTAGGAGACTAGTTCCTATGCATTTCTATTCCTACTCATTTCCAACCCCTGGATGCTGACTAACAAACATATAAAACACATACCTTTTTCTCTACCCCAGCCAGAAATGATGCAGCTGTCCTTAGGTTGGAATAGGTATGGAGACCAGGGGACACAGGCAGGGATGGAATTAGCGAACACACATTCTTCCTGTTTGAGATGTTTTTTCATTTCAATCAAAGCAATGTCATTTTGATAAGTAGTTCCATTGTAGCCTTCATGGATAATGATTCTTTCCACCTTTTGAACACCTATTCCGGAATTAAGTTGTATCCAGTCTATGAGTGAAGTCCATATTTGGTAATGGTGAGCTCTACTAGGTCTATAACAGAGAAGGAAAGAGAAATAGAAAGGAAATGTATAAAAATTAAATTCTGATTCTTTAATTCTCCTTTTTAAAAGATTTCTTCATGTCCCCAGATTTTATATTTAATCCTTGCCATCATGGAGCAGTAAGGTTAAATTTACTTATGGCAGAATTTAGTCAATGGCAAATGAAAAGAGGAATAATGTCGCTAACTGCTCAATACCAGGAAGATAAAGAATTTACTGAAAGCCAGACATGCCCAGAGTGGTGTGTCCATGCTGCTGTTGGAGTAAATGCATTGTCACTGTGTTGCAGGCAGCTGAGTTAGGTAGAAATAGTATAGGCAGTAGACAGGTCCCGGGCCTCAAATGGAGCCAGTGTGGAAGGCAAGATACCTTGCAACTTTGGGAGAGATAAGACAGCACTGTTGTGGGCCAGACCTCAAGACAAAAGATCAAACAAATGTAGCACATACCTCCCTAAGGATAGACATCAGGAATTTGTATTCTACATAGGTCTCTCACCTTGAGGACCTGCCTGGAAGAGTCACTAACCCAGCATCCTACAGGAAAATCCCCTGTTCTGTATTCATGCCCACTTGCTACACGACTCACTTTCCCATTTGGCCCTGAATTTAATCAATTTTAGCTTTGAAGTTGTGCATGTGGTCGTCCTGATTGATCACAGTTTTGTTCCAGCTCATGCCCACCTACAAGTTTTCAGGTTTTCCAACTTTGACTCACCTCACCACATGGTTTTACTCTATAAAAATCCCCGGAAGAGACAGATTCGGGGGCAACCCAATTAGGTCCCTCTTCTGTCGTCTCTCAGACAGGAGCTTTCTTTCCCCCAATAAATATATTCTGCTCTTAACCTCCATGGTTCCTAAGATTCATTCTTTGAGAACACGAACTTGACCCAGGTATCTTTCAAGCTGGGCATTTCATTCCCCTATATCAACTGTAAGTGCTCAGACAGTAACCAGACAGCACCTCATCAGATATGTGATTGAGGAGCTGAAGAATTTCTTTGCTCTGCCAAATCCTGAGGTTCTCTGGGAGAGGGTACCACAGCAGGCCTTTCTTCCTGCTTGACTGTGCTGCTGGAAGTCAAATATTGGGTCCGCCGTGGTTCAGATCTAAAACATCCCCCAAAATCACCCATGTTTCGAAGGTGATTAGCTCATGGGGGCTTCTACTCCTCAGTGAGTTCACCCACGGATAGGATCCTGGCCAGATGTGTGACTCATAGGCACAGGCTGATTGGGGTGGACCATCAGGGCATGACCCGGAAAAGGTGTCCTTGGCTACTCCCTTCTCTCTTACTTCCTGGCTGATGCAGTGTGGACCCTGTTCTCTGCCAGGCCCTTCCACCACAGCTGTTCTACCTTGCAGTCAGCTGAACATGGACTCAGTACACTGGAAATAAACTGAGCCAAATAAAGCCCTTGTCCTTTAAATTGTAGTTGTTGAGTATCTTGTCCCATGGACAGGAGAACTAACACAGGTCTTACCAACCCCTGTTGCCCTGGAGCCTTCGATTGGGCCCAGAATACAAGTGTTGCCTTATCTCGTTGAGGCAGCAGGGAGCAATTATCTTTCTCACATTTCACTCCATTTTTAGACCAATTTTCAAATCCTGGCTCCAGCAAATTGGCTATCTACCCAGATTTTGTCGGGGAACAGTGTAGTATCACTTTGGTAAAGTGTCATGGCTTAGTTTTGCTTGTTCTTAGTTTATTTTGTTTCATTTTTGAAGTAAGATGCTAAATAATGGTCTGTCAGCATAGTCTGCAGTGATGGTGAACATCTTAGAGTTTTTCATGATAGAAACAGACCACTGGAGCACATGTGCCACTTCCGAACAGTGAAGTGTTTCATCCTATGAATTTTCCATAAGCAATGAAACTTAATTTAATGGAAATGTTTTAAAAATGTATTATCTATATACCTTCTGCTTTCCCAAGCAGCAGAATTTGAACAAAATAAACATGATGTCCTAGGAGATAATGTAATATTTGGGTGCTTTTCTTTATACTCAGTGTTCCAAGGGTACTGTATTCCATATTGACTTTAATTGCACTATATGATCAGAGGCCTTAATATTGTTTAAAAGTTAATTCTATTTATTTACTCAGTGTACTCAAGAAATACTTGCGTACATCCGCTAGATACTAGGCACTGTGCTAGGCTCAGGAATGTAGAAAAGAGCAAAATCAGAAATGGTTCCTACTCTTATGGAGCTCAGTAGGTTCCCGGGGCATGGACTCTGGGGTCCTGGTTGTGAATGCTAGCAGGTACTTCACATTTACCAGAGCGCAACTTACACCCTTGCAGATGCACCCAACCAGTTACCATAGTCTCTCTCCTTCTCATTGTTTCAGGACATCTCAAGTGTACTGAAGACGCCATTACCTGACGCAGTGTGCAGCCGTCAGAATCCAGCAGCCACCGATATAAATTCCACCACATTTGATTTTACCCTCTTCCTTAATTGCCACCTGCCACGGGAAGTCGCCCTGGGAAAAACATTCGTGAGGTCACTGACATTCTTCCAGGTGGCCATCCACAGAGGGGCCCTAGACAGTCCCACCACCAGCCTTCCGATCTCATCACCACAGCACCCTTACCCCAGATATTTTTTTTAATGCATTTCACTGTTTATTAGATGTTTAAGCTCTCACACTAGGTTTTTACAAGATGTGAACACTAACAAATTATTTCTCCCACAGAAATTGTAACCACATGGTATGAACTCAGACAGCAACACAGATGGCTGAACGAACATTAATACACATCACCATTTCATCAGTTACATCATAAAACAAGTTGGGAAGTATCCAAATATTAAGTTATACAGCTCAAAAGGCATAAGAAATAGTAATGTCTACTCAATTCATTAGCAGAAACCCACTTCTTTTTTGCAAGAGGTTGCGAAGAGAAAAAAGTCACACCTCAAACAAAAATAAGTTGGTGAACAACTTACAAGTATGGAAAAAATTGTAAGAATTTCAGAACTTTTATGATTAAGAATTGTTTTATCTACAATAACGAAGCATCTATACCTTTAAAAATATTTACTAGGGGCTGGTGAGATGGCTCAGTGGTCTAAAGCGCCTACTTAGAACAAGCTTAGCAAAGCACAGGGACCATGGTTCAATCCCTCAGCACCACATGCCAGCCAGCCCCGCCCCCTGGTGGGCTGAGCTGGCCACACACACACACACACACACACACACACACACACACACTATAAATAATAAAATAAATTTTAAAAATTAAAAAAAAAAAAAAAAAAGATCCTGACTTCCATCCCCGGTACCCCCCCCAAAAAAAAATCCTTAAAATAAATAAATAAATAAAAATTTATTAGGTCAAAGAGCATATTCTACATGTTCTGCATAAGACAAAGGCAATATTTTGCTAAAAATATTGAATACCCCCTCCCAGGCTGTTTTCAGGCCCTCCCTGGCAGGCTGCGCCTCAGAGTGCAGGCATTAAATTAACTGTAAAGCTTTTTCTCTGAGACGTTAAAGACATGTGCTTCTATAACAGCGCAGAGCTTCAAGATGGAGGTTTCCCACAAGAGCACAAAAGAAACTTACAGAAAGACATTAAATAATCACCGTAAGACTTGGTCATAATCGAAAAGAACAAGCCGTGTTTAAGCCTTAGGGCTTTGCCCTGAAGTTTACCGTTTGTGCAGGCTTCCCTCCCACGATTCGCTTCCTCCGAGTGTGCGTGGGCCTTTTAATTCCGCAGGATATTTTCGGTAATAATGACTTTATCCATTTTCTTTCTTCAAGAAATGAAGAGATTGTAGTATTATTGTTATTAGTTTGAACTCATTACCTTGTGGACAGAGATATCTTGATTATCTCTGCCACAAAACCAGTAGAGTCATGGTTAATATCAAGTGGGAAAGGCTCATTAGTAAACTATTTTGGGTGCTAAACTCTGCTGTTTACTTTGTTTAAAAACTCTGGTGCAATACTAACACTGGTTTGATTCTCTAAAGTTCTTCCTAAATGTGGACTTAGGCCCAGGGGAAGCTGGCCAAGGGGTTGAGCACTTAGCAGTCTCTTGTAGATGACTAATGTCGTAGTCCTGGGATGCTTCAGGGGGGGTCGTGTTCTGAGGTCATCAGAATAGGCTGACAACAGGAAGGACAGCATCTTTTCCCCACTCTTAGGTTTTACTCTCTAGTTGTTTATCTGGAACTCTTTTCAACAATATTAATGTTAACATTATGATATTAGTATTGAGTACTTTGTATGTATCAGCCCCCATACTTACTACTCTCTCAGTTTATGTCACTTAATTATCATATGAAACCCAAGGTAATATTCCAGAAAATCCTGGACGGTTGGATCAGCAGGACGCGTCTGCCATTCGACATCGTCCTGTCTCTGTGTGTCGCCCCACACCCTAGTCTGTGAGCACATGGACAGGGCGGATTCGTCATGGAGAAGATACAGGACAGCAAGGCTTGAGACATGAACTTGTGGGAGAATTCATGGCAAAGGGAGAAATTAAGAGCATGCGGTGCTCTCCGAAATGAAGAGCATGAGGCGCTGTCCTTGTTCTGTCTGGAGCATTCTGTAAGCCTGTTTCTTAGCACCCAGTCAGAAAGGAAACTTACTATCATCTGGGGCTGGCCAGCAGGAGTGGGTGAACCAGATGGATTTTTGGTCTCACCTCTCCTCAAAACTACTTTGGGGAAGAATTAATGAAAGTCTTAAGTTTTTGTCCGGGTCTTTGAAAGAAGAGAGGGCTCATCCATTGAGGACTAGGAAACCCGGCTGTTGATGATCTGAAAATCAATGTTGCGTAGAAAATAAATGGCTTTTGTTGAAAATCCCTTTTGGTCAATATCTATAGCTTTGAGAACTAAAGCACTCATTGGTTGGTTACAAAATAGTTAAGTAATATTGAGGCCTGGCAATTACAAGTGACTCTCACATGAATTTCACTTTAAAAACCTCCTGAAATAGGGAGCTACTTTATTCCCAATTTGAGATTAAGCTTTTCACTTGAGGTTATATGGCTACAAAATAATTGTATCAAGACTGAGCACAGGCTGTGTGGCCCAAACACTCTGGTAAATTACTATCTTTCTACAAACTTAATACTTCATAGTTTCTTTTAAGGTGCACCTGGCCAGAGCTCAAATCATCAAATAGGACTCCTGCTTGAATAGGTGAATTCACGCTAATAGGTGAATTAATAGCTACTGTTCTACTACCTTAGAAAATATGCCATTTTTTGAAATCTGGCTGTTTTTTGATAAAACTGACCAGGCAAATTTAGTATCAAATAAAAAATCTTTATATAGGACTAAAGGCTTTTCTTTCACTTAGAATTAGTCATATTAATTAACCCAGTATTAAAAGCCATTCTCAAGAATCACTCATGATTTTTCTTAAAAGTGATAAGAAAAGGAGAATACTGTTATATTTTTCATTTAAATTTACATCAAAACAAACTGTTGTTTGAATAAAGTACATACATACACAAGCACACACAAGTGTGAACACGAACGCACACACACACGACAGTGAAAGGTAAACTTAAACCAACGAACCACCCATAAAAATTTATCAGATAAACCTACCTGTATCCATAGCTGCAGTCAAAATTTCTGTTTCTTCTATGATAAAACAGAAAGTTCCATTTTTTAAAGTTATTTTTAAAGATAATTAAGCCATTAAAAACACTTTGATAATAATTTTGCCTAAAAGTTATTTTTTTACAATCTTTCTTTTTCTTTTGAAGTGCCTGAAGTTGAACCTAAGGCATGCGCACTCCGCTATGCCCCCACTCTTTCTTACCTTGCACTTTGAAACAGGGTCGCCTTAAGTTGCTAATTTGTCTAAAGTGGATTGGAAGGTGAGATCTTTCTGCCTCAGCCTTCCAGAGTACTAAGTTACAGGTGCACTCCAGGCATGCTCCAGGCATGCTTCAACACACCCAGGTTGTCCTTCCTTTTAAGAGGACTGTGTAAAACTCCCCAGACATGTCATCTGATTTCATTTCTATAGCTGGGTACCTGAAAGGCTCAAGATAACTGCAGAAATTTTTCTTGGCCCAAACCAGAGATGTCTGCTGGTACAAGTGGGTGGTAAGAATCATGGTGCCGCAGTGCCCAGCGTTTAGAGCTCGCAAACCACACAAGTCAGAGAAGGAGAGCTTCTATTTCAGGTCTTCCTGTGAGGTTGGGAGCCCTAGGTGACACTGACAAACAGAGCCTGGAGCTAACATGGAGAAGGCTCTTTCACAGCATGCAAGCCAGCGCTTCTTCAGTCATGCATACACAGTATCTCACTGGCTTCGGTATCAGGTATGGCTACTGTTAAGCATCTGCAATGCAGAAGCCAAGGCAAGAACAAAGCCTCCTACCCTACCCTAGAGCCCACGGGACATCTTTCCCTCTTTAGTCTCCCATCCTGGAACATTGCCCTGAACAGGGTCATGATATCTCAGCTCTGGGGACTTGAAGGCAGATTCCCACCTACCATGCTGCTCATCTTTGCCCAAGGACCAGGCTGGGGACAGCAGAACCCAGAAAGGCAATGTCACTGTGCTGCAGCAATCAAAGGTGTTCCTGCTGCTGGTGGGAATGTAGACTGGTACAACCATTATGGAAATCAGTGTGGAGACTCCTTAGAAAACTTGGACTGGAAATTCCATTTAATCCAGCTATTCCTCTACTGAGAATTTTCCCAGAGGATCTGAAAACATCATATCATAGCGATATATGTGTGCCTATGTTTATAGCAGCACAATTTGTGATAACCAAATCTTGGAAACAACCAAAATGCCCATCACCTGAGGAATGGATGAAAAAGATGTGGTATTTTTATACAATGGAGTATTACTTAGCTATAAAGAATGATAAACTCGAAGCCTTTATATTGAAGTGGATGCCACTTGAACATATACTCATAAGTGAAATAAACCAGACACACATGTGTAAATATTGTATAGTTTCCCTAGTATAAGAACTCAAAAGAAGAAATATAAATAGAAAAGTATAATACAACTAAAAGGAAAGCAAGAACTTGAGGACAAAAGTTTTTCTGGATTCCCCAAGTTCTCTTTGGGACAGCGCACTCGAGTATGTTATGCATATGCCTTAGCTGTTCTCTAGGTCAAGAGAGACTGTGCAGTAGTGTTCACAGAAGTACTTTCCTGAGTCAGAGAATGAAGGGAAAGTAGGGGAGCCCAGCATAGCTGAGATGCGCTGGTGCTAGGGCACAGCACAAATCTTCAGAAGCAAACATGAGCCAGGAGGGAACCATCTGATGTACTGGTTATAAAAAAACTGAAGACAGGGGGCCTGCCCCTTAGCTCAGTTCTTTAAGTGGCTGCTTCAACAAAGCCAACAGACTCAGGTTGCTGTGGTTCGATCCCCACAACTCAAGCCAGCCTGTCATGCCTTGAAGGCATTCAGAGCAAAATAAATAAATAAATAAATAAAATAAAATAAAACAAAACACTTTGCCATTTTGGGCTGGTGAGATGGCTCAGTGGTCTAAAGCACCTACTTAGAACAAGCTTAGCAAAGCACAGGGACCGCAGATCAATTCCCCCAGCACCACATGCCAGCCAGCCCTGCCCCCTGGTGGGCTGAGCTGCCCCCCCACATACATACATAAATAAATAAAATTTAAAAAAAAAACCAAAACTGAAGACATCTATTCAACAACAATAATAACAACAGCCTCACCATCGATAAATAAGCAGATGGGGACAAAATGGAAGATGGTATTTGGAATGTCTAAAACTGACAAAGAATTCATATTTGGAAGACAAGAAAGAACTCTTCCCTGAAAGAAATTTAAAGTTAAGAATATGAGGGCCAGGGATAGAGCTCAGCAGCACAGCACTAGCCTGGCAAGCACAAGGTCCTGAGTTCAAGCCCAGTATAAATAAATAAATAAATAAATAAATAAATAAATAAATAACAAACTAGAACAGCTTATATGGATATAAAGTATGTAACTCAAGTCATTGGTTATTACCAAAAAAAATCAAGTTAATGAGCAACACCATCACTTGGAAGTTGGAGCTGAGCAAAGCTGGTTAGTACCAGGTGTTGGTGAGATTAGGAGAACTCTCAGACATTATTGATGGAAATGAAGGCTGGTGCTTAGCTCTTCCAAAGAACATGCAAGCACTAGTAACAAATTCAGGAGACACAGCCAAAAGCTCACTGCCCAACTTGATGTGTCACAGAGGTTGTCTCACACATCTAAGGGAGAGAGCATCCATCCTGGAGTGATTGTGGGCTGAGTCCATTGCTGAGACAATGCAGAGAATAAACAAACATGGTGGAATATTTTATACAGTAGTTAGGAGCCCTAGAGTGGACAAGTATGCAGTCAATTGGAAAGACTTTTAAAATGTATTTCTTCTGAAAAGGAAAATCACGATCCACAACAATGCTATGAGAGTTTTAAAAAAAATGTGTGCTACACAATACCAGTGCATGTTGGAAAAGAAGGCATATAAGCAAAATGATAGTCTTTGGCCTTCCGCCACAGCAACCACTGAAGAACACTAGCCATGGCCCTACGCTATCCCATGGCCGTGGGCCTCAACAAGGGCCGCAAGGTGACTAAGAATATGAGCAAACCAAGGCACATCCAGGAGGTGTGCAGCTTTGCCCCCTACAAGTGGCCCTCCATGGAGCTGCTCAAGGTCTCCAAGGACAAGCACACCCTCAAGCTCATCAAGAAAAGGGTGGGGACGCACATCTGGGCAAGAGGAAGCTAGAGCTGAGCAACATGCTGGCCTCCATGAGGAAGGCAGCTGCCAAGAAGGACTGAGCCCCCTCTGGAATAAAGCTTTGCTGAAAAAGATAAATGACAGTCTTTGAGTCACATGATGAGGTGCACTGTGTGGGAGAGGAGGAGAGGAAAACTAGGGAGGAAGAGGAAGAGGCAAGGAAGGAGAGGATGGTGATGAAGTACAGTGACCCAAGGAGTGTCAGCCACTCATCCCTTTGCTGCTGAGGTCCAAGCCTGACAAAAGAAGGGAGGAAAGGGGGACAGAGAAAAGAGGAAAGGGATAAATGGGGGTGAAGGGCGACAGCATCTTGTACTTCTGAGAGGAAGTACAAGAAATTGATTGTGACTTGACATTTAGGGCAAGCGGTGATCCTGAGCTAGTTGGTCCCCTAGGAAGCCCGAGTTCTGCTGAGGACTACAAGCTTAGGGCAGTACATGGGCTGGGGACTTGAGTCACTTTTTATGAATAACTAAGAAAAGGGTAGCTCCAAGCCACTGGAGATCTGGGGACTCTGTGTACAAGTTAATAAGAAGGCATGTTATATTTCCTCTGGTGCCTTGGTTTTGATAAGAAATCAAAGAGGGAGGTATTTAGCTGAGGTAAACAGTGCAGGGAAGTGTACGCCTTGGTTTCTGACCACGAGGCTGTGGATGAGGAGTGTGAGGCAGGAAGTTCATCAAGCTGGACAGAGGACAGTGCCCACACTGTTGCTAAGCTCTGGTTGTTGGTCACACACACCATGCTGGTTCCATGCTCAGCATTAGTTACATAAAAATGTAAGAGCATATCACATCATGGGTTTTGTATCAATTTCCCTATATCCTAAGATGTTCATGAGATTTTTACCTTGAGACTCAGGTCAAGTCAACTTAAACATTTTTAGTTAAGGAAAAGAAGTGCCATGCCACAATGCTACACATATATCATAAAAATGGAAGCACCTTGTTTCATCCATAATATACAGTTTCTGTGATAAAAATGCATTTACCTGGAACCTCAGGGTGTTCAACTCCTAAAGAGAAATTAAAAAAGCAAAACCTCAATAAACAAATAAATCATTTTCACTTAAATAAAATATACATGAATCATTAAACAGCTCTATGATTTAAAATTCATAGTTAGAAAAAATAGAAGGAAACTATAAGCTGTATGACAACTTTGTATTTTGTTAAGGCATAAAAATTTTTCAGCTTGCCTTACACTTATACTGGTTTTACCATTGCAAGGGAATCATTTTACCTTAAATTCTAAAAAGAGATTATTAGTATTTTAGATATATTTGAACCCATATCAACAGCAACTTACTACATACTTACATAAAATACATAACTACTCTTAACTTACATAATAAAAGGGCTTATAAAAGATGAATGCAATTGAGATATAATTCGAACCTCCGTTGATTTAGTAATCTTGTCCTAGCCACTTAAAATCGATGCAAATTAATGCTTTAGTTTTGCATCTCTGCTCTCTGAACTATCCTTGTAGGAGGACAAATAGAATCATGACTGAAATGCAAAGGGCAGAGCTTAACCTTAGAGGGGTGGCCTTTGTCAAGGACCACTGACTTTTTTTTTCCATAATTTTATTGAGAAATAAATAACAATGAGACAATTTCAAATCAAATTGGTAGGACAGTTCCAATAATTAACACATTGCATACTGCCTTCCTAGTGGTTATTTGTTGTACAAGATGCAGACATGATATACTATTTACAAACACTATTAGAACAAATCCCTCTATTGCTTGAATTAAGAGAATGTAGCCATATATCTATCCTAACAACTTTGAATACACAGATACAAAATGGTCATTCATCTATATCCCCTTTTTTTGTTTAGTTCCATCATTTAAATATTACAGGTATGTGAACTCAGCAAAATATTCTAAAAGAGTCCAGTAGTCCATAATAGTATTGGGTCTTCCACTTGACTGGCAATGTCAGAAATTGTTGACCTGAGTCCCCTACAGCTCAACATAACAACATAACAACATGGCTTTATTTCTTGTACTTCTTTTTTATACTTTTCTGCTGGATGGTTAAGACCAAGATAAAGCAAGACCTATGTAACAGGAGTTGTAGCTTTTGTATCTGATAAGGTCAGTGAAATCCCCTCAGGATTTATACTGACTCTTTCAGGGAGCAAAATGAAAGATGAGAGAGAGAACAAGAAATTAGTTGAGACTCGGCATTTAGGATCAAGGGTGATCCTGCTAGTTAGTGCCCCAGGAAGCCCAAGTTCTGCCGAAGGCCAGCAACTTGGGGCAGTGAGTGGGCAGTGACCACCAACTAAGCATATTTCCACATGAAAGTAAGCTTTTATGGTGTAGAGGAAGTTCTGTCGCCAAACAGACTGAGAAATTGTGTTCTTTTACCTTAATTAAGCTTTAGAGCTTTTTTTCCCCATAATTTTATTGAGAAACAAAGAGCAATGAGACAGTTTCAAACCAAATTGGTAGGACAGCTTCAATAATTAACACACTGCATACATTCTTCCTAGTAGTTAATTGCTGTACAGGATGTGGACATGATATCCTATTTACAAACACTATTAGAACAAAGCACTCTATTCATTAAGAGAATGTAATATATATCTATCCTAACCATTTTGAATACACAGATACAAAATGGACATTCATCTGTATACCCTTTTTTGTTAAGTTCCCTTTACTTGAATATTATAGGTGTGTTAACTGAGCAAAATATTCTAAAAGAGTTCAGTAGTCCATAACAGTATTGGGTCTTCTGCTTCACTGGCAATGTCAGAAATTGTTGACCTGAGTCCCCTACAGCTCAACATAACACCATGACTTTACTTCTTATACTTCGTTTTTATACTTTTCTGCTAGATGGTTAAGACCAAAGTAAAGCAGGAACTATGCAACAAGAGTTGTAGCTTTTGGGTCTGATAAGGTCAGTGAAATCTCCTCAGGATTTATCCTGAGATCCTGTACCTCAGATTGTTTGTCAGTGTCAGCCATGTGGATGAGTCACGGCCATTGCTTGGCCAATGTGCTCTCTGTGAAAGCCTGAGAGAATGTTTTCTCTCCATGTGACTCTCCTTAGGCACACTCTACATCATCGATCACTTTCCTCTTTGGCCCCATAATCTCCTTGATCAGAAAATTTGGGACACTACCGAGTTACATGACGTTACAATACAAGTTCTCATATATCCTGAGTCTTAATTGACCTTAGAAGGCTAGGGGCAAAATGTTGGCTTTTCTTGCAGCCCTCTTTTTTCTCTAATTTTGGTCTGCAAACTTAGGTTGTTAAACCTCCAGAAGAGAAATGATTGCTGGCTAAGGCTGCCTTAAGAGCGGGTCTGGTAATGCAGGTGGAGGTGGGGATAGAACCAGCGGTATCCAGCCACCTGACTGCATTTTCATGAGCTGGCATTTAAACAACTGAGCTAATCGGCAGGCCCCCAAACTTTAGAGTTTTAAATGGATGGATAGAGGAGTAAAAAAGAACAGGCGAAAAAGCCCAAATTATTATTACATTGAAAAAGCCAGACCAAGCTATAGAGGTTTTATGGACCTCCTTCTTGAATTTTTTTCTTCCTCTCTTTACTAAGGATTGAACTTAATTGAATAAACATAGAGGCATTTTTCTCAGCTGCTCATAGACCTTTAAAATAAGTAATATGCAGCTGGCCACATAGCTTAGCAGACTATAGCGCCTGCTAAGGTGGAGCGCAGTGGCCTGGGTTTGATCCCAGGTGTGCTGTGTCAGCCCCGCCCCCAGGTGCGCTGAGACAGAGATTGAGCCTGGGCATGGTGGTGCACACCTGTAATCCCAGTGTTTGGGAGACTGAAAACAGGAGAATCGCTATGAGTCTGATTTATGTAGTGAGACCCTGTAGACCCTGTACTAAAAATACAAAATAAAATAAATAACATGATTTGATATCCAGAAATGTGTATTATTTGGTTGAAGAACTGGTGTCAGTGGAAAATTAAACAAAGTTTCAGCAAGTCTAATGCGGGACATATCAAACCAGGCCAAAATGGAAACATTGGTTCACCATTTACATATACAGTCAGTGTCTAGTGAGCGGGCTGCATTTGTCCTGGGACACCTGGCATATGACAACGATGACGTTCTGTTTTCAAAGTTTTTATTGTTGAGAAGGAAAAGATGAGATGAGTACAAGAGCGACAGTAAGCGGCGAGGAGTGACTGAGCGGCCCGAGGTGGTGGGGTGGGGGGTCCGCCTACCTGAGTGCAAGAGCCCATCCTGGAAGGACCTGGACAGGGGGGTGGCTGGGGCGCGTCCTTCATGGGACTCTGTGAGTGAGAAGAGCTGAGTTAGAAAGGAGGCACCGAGTGCAGGGACCAGGGATCCAGCCCCGGTCCCCCATGCAGTGCCAGCCCTGTCCCTGGTGTGCGGAGCTGAGGCAGGCGTGGTGGTGCACACCTATAATCCCAGCGCTGGGGAGGCTGGAAACAAGAGGATCACTTCAGTCTGAGCTGCGTAGTGAGACCCTGTACCAAATAGAAAGGAAGGAAGGAAGGAAGGAAGGAAGGAAGGAAGCTAGCCAGCCTCGTGGGATGTTTACTTTTAGAATATTTTGTTTTTCTTTTTTTAACATTTTGTTACAGTAAAGACATAGTGGTATGAATCTCACTAAATTCTCCCCTTCTCTTTGAACACTTGTTCTCTCTCTCTCTCTCTCTCTCTCTCTCTCTCTCTTTCTCTCTCTGTATGTGTGTATCTTTTGAACACAAGATCTCCCATGCAGTTCAGGCTGCCCCTTAAATTCACTTTATAGCCCAGACTGGACTCGAACTCACAAAGATCCTCCTGCCTCAGCCTCCTGCGTGCTGGGATTATAGTGTGCATGCACCACCATGCTTGTCTCTTGCTACTTTCTGAAACAGCTGTGCGAGTCCTCTTCCTTGTCTTTATCAGGTGTGAGGAAAAAAATATGGTGAGTGCGGCTGCTGAGTGCCGCCCAACAGCACGGCACTGCATAAAATCATGAATGACACTGTGTCCTCCCCCACCTTGGTCACCAGATCTGCTGCCATGTGATTCTGGCTCCTCCCCAAAGTCACAATGACCACAGAAGATCAATGTTTTGTTTTGTTTTCACTGTGTCAAAACTAAGAAACTTATATTCATATAACTAAAATTCTCAAAGTATAAGGAAGTAGGCAATAAATATTTAAAGATTCAAGATTTCTGAATTTAGTTCAACTTATAATACCATATTTCCAAGAAAAATGAACCTTTTGCACAAGAAATTTAAATAAAATCATACCAAGACACACAAAAATGAAATTGTCCAAAACTTATTGTAAAGAAAAAAA